TCCTGTTCTAAAGGAAATTCTTCACAGGCCCAGCGCGCGACAGAACAAATTCGAAAATATGCAAATGTGAGTAGATCAATAGGTACCGCTCCGGCGGGAAGGTAATACAAAGCAAATAAAATTGGAGTTCCTGATACAGCCGTACCAGAACAGAATTACTAGGTTGACAGAAGCTGGGACTAACAGCAGGAGCTCACTCCGCTCCCTGGATTTGAACTGTCAACCTTTTGGTCACCAAGTTCAACAGCTCAGTGGTTTAACCCACTTCACTACTGGGGGCTAGCTACCTAGCAGTTTGAAAACATGTAATGTGAGTAGATCAATAGGTGGAAAGGTAAAAGGTGCCCTGCAGACATGCCAGCAAAACACAACCAGGAGGGTTTACGGACACTCCTCGGCATGGAAAATGGAACAAGAGCACCTCACCACGGCCAGAGTTGAGCATCGCCTCCAGACGCCAAAGATGGAAAGGGAAACCTTTGCCTCGTTTGTGTATTGTATGTCATTCTTCACTGTATAAAAGGCACTGAATGTTTATCTATATATTTGTATACTGTAATCCACTCTGAGTCCTCTTGGAATGATAGAGCAGGATATAAATAAAGTGTATTATTATTATTATTATTATTATTATTATTATTATTATTATTATTATTAAACTAAACCTTGAGTAGTTCCTAGATCAATAATATTATTATTATGAAACTAAACCAGAGTGGTTCCTAGATCAATAGGAACAACTCTGGAGGAGAGATAACAGTGCTCCATGTAGTCATGCCGGCCACATGACCTTGGAGGTGTCTACGGACAACGGCGGCTCTTCGGCTTAGCACCAACCCCCAGAGGCGGACTTGACTGGACTTAAAATCAGGGGGGAACCTTTATCTTTACCTTTAGGTAGGCAGAAGCTAGGGCTGACAGTGGGAGCTCACTGCCGACCTTCTGCAATGTTTTTTTTTGTAGCTAGCGGTTTAACCCGCTGAGCTACCGCAGCCCCTGTTAATTAGTAAATTGGCATTGTTCCTGTTGTTTTAGTTATAAAGCTGAAGTTAGTTTGTCTATTTCAACTATTTCACAGATGCTGCTGTGCTAAAGCCGAATCCCAGTAGCAGGCAATGGGATTGGTAGCCCAAAAAGGAAACTTCCCAAAGGATTGGGTTCATTGCCTTCCTGCCCGTTTGAAATCGAGGCTGTGACTCGAGGCACTTTGAGGAATTCAAAACATCGTTGCTTTTGTAAAACATTATGTACATCGATAGGACTACACAGACAACAGTAGCATCACAAAAAAAGAAATAATCTCCATATCCTTCTTGCCAGGAAGGCCCAGGGAGAAGTCGGTTGAGTTTAAAAGCTGCCTGGATAACATTCCTTTTTGGCGGGTTTGACTGAGCGAGTGTGTTGCCAAGATATAATATTATACTCATATAAGTATGCATCAGTAACCCGTGGCGATTTCCATTTTCCAAAACCTTCTCCCCACAACGACATAGTAGATATTCGTAAACCTACTAACAATAACTCCATTACTCCTACCCTCCCCTTTTCCCCTTTTTACCCAACTGTTCCATTTCACCCTTTTATGTGAAAAAAATTGGAAATGATCAATAAAAATATTACGAGGGTTGAATGAAAAGTAATGCCTCCACCTTCGTTACTCGGGTTTGGATGGGAATATTTTAATACATCAAATGCAGAAATAATCCTTAGAATGTGCTCTTTCACTATCACCAGGCCTGTAGTGAGGGGGTGGTTTTAGGGGTTCAACCCCCCCCCCCGAAATGTTTCAGATTTTTTTAAAAAAACCTGGTTTACTCATGAATTTTAACTGGTTAACCAAATCCCCATGCTAAGTCTATGAGATGCAAAAATTAAGAGTCCCTCCAGAACTGTAAGCACTATCTCAAGCAAATATTGACAATTTATTCACACTGTCATTACTTGCAGCAATAGCCGATGTAGTGAAGCAACCAAGTTGGGTGTGTGTGTGTTGAATGCTCTCATTAAGGAGGCCAGACTTGGTGGAGGTGGTTGACAGGGGCAGAGCTGCAGGCTATTGAAGGCTGCTCTGCCCCCTGCTGTGCTCTTGGCTTCAGCATGAGCTAGGAGGCAGGTTTCACCCCCCCTGTGAAATCCCCCACCCTCCCAGAAAATTTCAACCCCCCCCCCCCGAAATTGTCAACCCTCCCCGAATTTTTTTTCTGGCTACGGCCCTGACTATCACTGTTCACTTTTCCACATAATCACCAGACAATTGGATACATTTCTGCCAACAATGAACAAGTTTTCTGAAGCTGTCACAGAAGAAGTCGACACTCTGTTTCCGCAAGCAGCGTCTCACAGTTCTCTCATCCTAGGTACCCATTGTGCACAGATCTTCCGATAGCCAAGCAAAGCAAATGTGGCCCACATGTTCTTGTGAAATGCCCAATTATGCTTGAAATTTCTCTCTGAGTGATACGACAATCGTCCTGAATCAATCTGTCAACCTTTTGCTTGTGAAACTTGGTGGTTGCTGTCACAGGATGTCCAACTCTTTGTTTGTCACAAGAAGTCGACACTCTGTTTCCGCAAGCAGCGTCTCACAGTTCTCTCATCCTGGGTACCCATCATGCTCAGATCTTCCAATAGCCAAGCAAAGCAATAATGTGACCCACACGTTCTTGTGAAATGCTGATTATGCTTGAAATTTCTCTCTGAGTGATATGATGATCATCCTGAATCAATCTGTCAACCTTTTGCTTGTGAAACCCGGTGGTTGCTGTCACAGGACGTCCAACTCTTTATTTGTCACGCAAGTCAGATGTTCCCACTTCAACACATTTAAACTTACTCGCCCAACGATGCACACTACTCACATCAACACAATTACGATAAACAGCTTGCATTCTCTGATGAATCTCCTTTGGGGTGACACCTTCTGCTGTCAAGAATTCAATGACTGCATGTTGCTTAAGTTGCATTGACCAAACATCTGTGCAGGGTGCTATACTTCACACTTTAAAAACACAACCATTCAATGCCATTCAATGCCAAAAGGAACTGTAGAGGAGAGTCTACTGAACAAGCCAGTACCTGTATTATCAAAGGCTTTCATGGCTGGAACCACTGGGTTGTTGTAGTTTTTTTTGGGCTATATGGCCATGTTCTAGAGGCATTCTCTCCTGATGTTTCGCCTGCATCTATGGCAAGCATTCTCAGAGTTCCTCTGAGGATGCTTTCCATAGATGCAGGTGAAATGTCAGGAGAGAATGCCTCTAAAACAGTGGTTCTCAACCTGGGGTCCCCAGATGTTTTTGGCCTTCAACTCCCAGAAATCCTAACAGCTGGTAAACTGGCTGGGATTTCTGGGAGTTGTAGGCCAAAAACATCTGGGGACGCCAGGTTGAGAACCACTGCTCTAGACCGTGCCCATATAGCCCGAAAAAACCTACAACAACCCAAGCCAGTACCTGCCGTATAACAGTACTGCCATCTATTTTTTTTGTCGTGTCAGGAGCGACTTGAGAAACTGCAAGTCGCTTCTGGTGTGAGAGAATTGGCCATCTGCAAGGACGTTGCCCAGGGGACCATTGCTATAACTGGAACTACATTCAATGTGGTTGTGTAATGTCCCCACAAGAGGAGCTGGAGCTGATAGAGGGAGCTCATCCACCTGTCCCTGAACTCGAACCTGCGACCTGTCGGTCTTCAGTCCAGTTTTACCCACTGTGCCACCGGGGGCTCCACTGCCATCTATTGAGGAGTTACGAACGTGGAGCCATTAATTTTCATTCAACCCTCATAGTAGATATTTGTTAACCTGCTAACAATAATTCCATTACTCTTACCCCCCCTTTTCCCCCTTTTACCCAACTGTTCCATTTTCTCCTTTTGTGTGAAAAACATTTGGAAATGATCAATTAAAAAAGATGATTATGTGATTGGAACCAACCATCCTACCTTCAACTTGGGCAGGCGCTTGATGGTCTTCAGAGGCCGAAGGACCCTCAGGACTCTGAGGGACTTGATGGTGTTGATATCTTTCCCTTTGTTACCTCTGCAAGAGAGAACATAGAGAGCAACAAAGGGAGGCCTTTGGTTCTGGAAGGAGGCTCTCCAAAGCCCAGGTGGACCCATCCAAATCTCCACCAGAAGAGACAAACTCCCTTGGCCCATCTCTGGCACATCATACTTGTCTCAGTCCCTTTAGATCAGCCTTCTCCAAAGATGTTGGACTGCAGCTCCCATCAATCCCAGGCAACACAGCCATTTTGGGATATTTAGTCCAAGGGAGCTGGAGGACACTAGGTCAGGGAAGGCTGTCAGACGCAGCATAACAGCACAGCAAAGTGCAGACAATCCTTTTTTTCTGCAGAAGTCATGCAGAAAAGAAGCAGAGCTGACCTGGCAAAGGCAGCTAACAATAGGGAATCCACAACACTATTGTATCTAATGCTGGACGATCTAACATTCCTGGAATGTTAAGATTTTATTGTCAACATACACACACATAGACATAACAAAAAGTTCCTTTAAATAAGCATGCAAATAGAACGTCACCTCATTTTCCCCACCTTCAAACATTCTGGCTAATGTGCAAAGGCACCAGGATGATAGACAAGCCGAAGAAATGATGGCCATTCAGTGTTGGTTTATGAAAGCATTTCCAGATGTTTAATGTTGCTTTAACTGGAGAACGTACCACTTGTTTTTAGTAGTAATTTGTTTTTTCTGCTTTCCAGTTACAGCTGTTTACCTTAAGCTCAGTTCAGGCAACACTGCGGTAGAGTGAAGCTAAGCCTGAGATCTCTTGTTCCTCTCAAGATGACTGAGCACATACCAGCCCTCGAAATATATTACAGCCTATGCTTGCAATCCATGCTTACTGCTGATGAAGCCCCATTCACAAAACATAAACAAGAGGGGAGGATGTATCTTTCGTAAGTTATGAGTAGAGCCACCGGCATGGGACTTTCGGGCACAGATTCAGGGCCCATCAAGGAGAATGAAGCAAGGAAGACTGGGTCCCAAATGTAGCAAGGCTCCAGTTTTACTTGCTTTAATACAAGGTAAATCAGTTGTAGATTAGCCAAAAGAGGCTGATAGTTTAACTCAGTGTTTCTCAACCTGGGGGTCGGGACCCATGGGGGAGTCGCGAGGGGCTTTCAGAGGGGTCGGCAAAGACCATCAGAAAACACAGTATTTTCTTTTGGTCTTGGGGTCTCTGTGTGGGAAGTCTAGCCCAATTCTATCGTTGGTGAGGTTCAGAATATTCTTTGATTGTAGGTGAACTATACATCCCAGCAACTACAACTCCCAAATGTCTATTTTCCCCAAGCTCTACTAGTGTTCACATTTGGGCATATTGAGTATTCATGCCGGGTTTGGTCCAGATCCATTATTGTTTGCGACCACAGTGCTCTCTGGATGTGGTGAACTACAACTCCCAAACTTAAGGTCAATGCCCACAAACCGTTCCAGTATTTTCAGTTGGTCATGGGTGTTCTGAGAACCAAGTTTGGTTCAATTCCATCATTGGTGGAGTTCCGAATACTCTTTGATTGTAGGTGAACTATAAATTCCAGCAACTACAACTCCCAAATGACAAAATAAATCTCCCCAACCCCACCAGTATTCAAATGTGGGTGTATTTGTGCCAAATTTGGTCCAGTGAATGAAAATACCTCCTGTATATCAGATATTTACATGACAATTCATAACTAGCAATATAACAGTTACGAAGTAGCAACAACAATAATTTTATGGTTGGGGGTCACCACAACAGGAGGAACTGTATTAGGGGGTCGTGACATTAAGAAGGATGAGAACCACTGGTTTAACTGATGATTTAGAGAGTACTGTGAGCTTTCCTGGTGATGGACTCTCAAGTTTGGGAAATTCAAGTCTGGGAAATGATGATTTGAAGATGGCCCAGAAGCTTCAACTAGTCCAACGAACAGCAGCCAGGTTGCTAATAGGAGCGGCGCTCAGGGAACATACAACCCCTTTGTTGCGCCAACTCCACTGGCTGCCGGTTTGCTACTGGGCCCAATTCAAAGTGCTGGCTTTGGCCTATAAAGCCCTAAATCAGTGGTTCTCAACCTGGCGTCCCCAGATGTTGAGCTGTAGGCCAAAAACATCTGAGGACCCCAGGTTGAGAACCACTGCCCTAAATGGTTCTGGCCCAACTTACCTGTCTGAACGTGTCTCCCCTTACGAAGCATTGAGGACTCGAAGATCATCTGGGGAGGCCCTGCTCTTGGTCCCGCCTTTGTCTCAAGTATGTTTGGTGGGGTCTTTTCAGTGGTGGCCCCTCGGCTATGGAACACCCTCCCTAGGGAAATTAGATCTGCTCCCTCCCTCTTAACATTTCGGAGGCAAGTTAAAACATGGCTGTTTGAGCAAGCGTTTACAAATGCAGAGTAGCTAATATAGGAAATTGAATGACCTGACAATGGAACTGGACAATGCTTGAGAATAATGAGACGCTGATGATGTTGTTTTTATTGCTTTGTGGTGTTTTATATTGTTTAATGTTTTAATCTGAATTATGTTTTTATATGTACTGATTTGTTGAAACCGCCAAAAAGAAAAAAAAACTCCCCCCCAAGAAAAACAACCCCAAAGACGACAAAAACCACACAACGGACAAGACCCCCCCCAACCACCCCCCCAACCCCCCCCCCCCCCCTTGAAGAGTTTGGGTTCTTAATCTTTGCTTACTTAACTTTTTTCTAAAGGAGAGGAGCGATGTAGATGATCTAATTTCCCCGGGGAATGAGTTCCACAAAGCAGGGTATTCTTGATCTGCATCTTCTCCTGCAGTGAGGGCATTGGTTTCCAAGGTGGAAGGTGGCCCCAGTTGGGGTTGGGTTGACGCGCCTTCCTCTTGGCACGTTTCTCTCTTTCACCCTCCATTCGTGCCTCTTCAAATTCTGCAGTACTGCTGGTCACAGCTGACCTCCAGCTGGAGCGCTCAAGGGCCAGGGCTTCCCAGTTCTCAGTGTCTATGCGAGTTTTTAAGGTTGGCTTTGAGCCCATCTTTCAATCTCTTTTCCTGCCCACCAACATTCCGTTTTCCATTCTTGAGTTCGGAGTAGAGCAACTGCTTTGGGAGATGGTGTTCGGGGATCCGGACAACGTGGCTGGTCCAGCGGAGTTGATGGCGGAGGACCATCACTTCAGTGCTGGTGGTCTTTGCTACTTCCAGCACACTGACATTTGTCCACTTGTCTTCCCAAGAGATTTGCAGGATTTTTCAGAGGCAGCACTGATGGAATCGTTCCAGGAGTTGCATGTGACATCTGTAGACAGTCCACGTTTTGCAAGGCATATAACAGGGTTGGGAGGACAATAGCTTTATAAACAAACACCTTGATATCCCTACGGATGTCCCAGTCCTCAAACACTCTCTGCTTCATTGGGAAAAATGCTGCACTCGCAGAGCTCAGGCGATGTTGTATTTCGGTGTCGATGTTGACTTTGGTGGAGAGGTGGCTGCCAAGGTAGCGGAAATAATCAACGACAAGGTGACAGTCCATCAAGGGGATAAAGAAATAAATAAATAATAGTAGTAATCTTTCGCGGGGAGTCAGCCTTTTCCCTCCCGACATCCTTGTTGCCTCGGCGCTATAAGAAGGTTTCACAAGACCAGTTGCTCTCATTGTGACATGGTTTCGAGGCAACTGTGTAGTAATGATGAGGCCACAGACCATATTTTCGTTCTTGCGAACCACTTGTGGGTCACGGAGCACAGGTTGGGAACCACTGGTCTAGAGAAAGTAAATGTAGCCCATGATAAGCATTGATTGGGTTGCCCCTGAGTTTTGATGGCAACAGCCAAGGCCAGTGCGTGCTCCTTCGCTGTCAGAAAGCACACAACATTACCTAATCGGCACAATCTGCTCGCAAGCGGCGGGGACCTTATGCTGTGGCCTCTTATGCACAGAGAAGGGCTGCCATTGACCCGAGGATAAAATAGAACACTGACTCATCTCGAGCGAATGCAGAGAGACGCAATCCTATCTCGAGACAAGAGAGACGAGGACAGAGCGGGGAAATGATCTGTGTGGGCAGCCAGAACAAAATCTACCCCTCGCTTTAATGTACAAGAACATGCACTCATTTTTGGCAGGCTCTGAAAATATTGCAAACAGAGAGACTCTCTTCTGGAGAGCCCTGAGGTTAATGGACAGCAGGACAGTTATTCCCGCTGTCCATTATTTCATCCTAGCTTAGAGGAACACATCCTTTCCAAAGTTTTCCCTGTAGGTGAAATTATAAGAGTTTTTCTATATATATTTTCACATATAGGGATGGTTTGAATGTCTTTCCCCCCCTAATTCTCTGCTACCTCTCAGCCAGGTGAATTCATGCGCAATTGTTTGAATTCTTCTGTTCCTGGTTGTGATCCAGGCACTAGCTTCTGTTCCATTTCTGGGACCAATTTCAAGTGTCTATTTCGATGCCAAGCCCCCTGAAGCTTGGCAGCAAAACTTCCTGAAGGAGCACAAGTCTCCACATTTGTCTGCTGTGGCTTTGAGATGCCTCATCAGAGGTTCTTCTCTGGTTTCTTCTGAAATCTGAGAAAATCAGAGACCTTTCAAAGGCGGTACTCTAGCTTTTGAATACTTCTTACTGCCACCCAGTCTAATATCATGGTGATGGACAAGGTGGCAGCGGCAGTGGTCTGAGATCCTTCTCGGACTCACTTCCTTTTGGGCGCCGCCTTGGTCTTCTTGGCCTTGGGGCTCTTGGCCGGCTTGGGCTTGGCTTTGGGGCTCTTGGCCTTGGACTTCTGGGGGGACTTGGCCTTCTTGGGGCTCTTGGAGGCTCTTGCTTACCTGTAACTGGGTTTCTTCAAGTGGTTCTCTGTGAAAAAACACTTGAGGAGTTTACTGCACCCAAGTAGGCTCTAATGCAGTGTTTCTCATCCTGGGACCCTTGGGGAGGTTGTGAGGGGGTGTCAAAGGGTTTGCCAAAGACCATCAGAAAACACAGTATTTTCTGTTGGTCATGGGAGTTCTGTGTGCCAAGATTGGTTCAATTCCATCATTG